TAAATATTTAAGTTGCAACTTAAATATTTATCTAGCATGTTAAATATTTAGGTAGCTAGCTAAATATTTAATTTGTAAGTTAAATATTTAGTTTATAAACTATGGCATTTATAAATGTATCTTATGGTGAAAAACTGACTTTGAAAAATAAATCTGTTCTCTTTTTCTTATAAAAGGCTAAATAAAACAAAAATATTGGTGCCATTTTTGACTGTGTAACTTTACAAACGGCACCCCATAGGGTCAGAGTGGTGTGACACATTGATAAAAAGAAGAAACAAATCCATAGATTAGACTTCTGCTGCCCTAAATTTATCCACAAAGAGGATTTCACACTTACAACTAAAAATCAATTTTCTCCTCAGTACAATAAAATTACATTATAGTACTGGAATAAACAAACAAGAGTTGTTAAAGTGACTTCACAAATAATTATTATTCAGCCATGCAGTTTGTCTTTAATGAACCCAGCTTTATCAAATTCATGCTCATTGATTTTCCATCTGCTTAACCCAGTTCCATTCCAGTATGTGTTAAAAAAGTGATAAAGAAAAAACTCAAAAGTTGTGAAAACCAGCATTTATCTCTTCTTTTCTTTTTATTTGCTCTGTATGTTAAAACCAATTCACTGRTCCAGAGTAGCAGACAGAACCGTCTGTGGCCTGTTCAAACCATGTGGTTGAACCGGTTTTAAAAGCATCTAACCTGGCTGAGACAAAAACAATGACGTGAAATACCTTGGAAATGACATCATATCTAACCTGTGGCATCAGTGAGTGCAGAACACCAGCTGTCACAGCAGCTTTTCATAAATGGTTGTCATGAAATAATCAATGAAAAGCAGAAGTTGAAAGAAGCTGTAGGATTAACTAAACCTGACTGTTAACCTGACTGGTTAGCTTGATCTGGAACCAACTCCACAGAATGGTCCTTTTGTCCAAATAACTACATTTTAAGTCAATTTACAAACAAGTTAAATCCTGTAAAACAGAAAATGTTCGATTTTTTAAGATTTTTTTATGATTAACATCAGAGGTGATGTTGAACCCAAACAGTTTAAACATAAAACACAACCATGCAGTTTTACACCTACAGTAACAGACCATTTCGTAGTTGATCACAAATGTGCAAAGCGCGCTTACCTCATGTTTTTCTGAAAAAAAAAGAGGTTTCTATGGAAATATCGTAGTTGGACGAATTCAACAGGTAAAATTTACACCGTTATACAAACCTGATGTATTCTCTCTAAGCTGATTTGTGTTAAACTGTTCTTTAGGATCACATTTGAGGTTTTTCATAAATATCAAAACGTGCTTTTTGAGCTCATTGAGTTTGCATAACTCCATTAGTGTCTTCATATAGTAACCTCAGCTTTTATCCAGTTGACCTGTGACCCGGAAAAGCTGGGCTTCACTAAGCACATTTCAACTATGAAATAATCTATTGACAGCAGAATAGGAGAGGTTACTCCATTTAGTGTCCTTGTTTTCTTTTAATATGATTCCATTTATAACTTGTGTGATATTTAGCATAAATATCTATTTGAAAAACTAATGCTGTGACAGTCTGTGGTAAAGAGAGAGAATGAGACCAAAAAAAGGAAAGGAAAACTCCCCTGACAGCACCTCTGTGGTTCTTCTGCTGTAAACATTACTTGGATCAATCGCTGCACTAAAAGCAGCGTCACACCACTTCACCTGGATCATTGATTGCATATCTGACAAAAAAAAMAAAMAAAAAAAAACAAAAAAAAAAAACAGGGCTGTAGTAATTTACTGCCATTCACAGAGTTACTGCTGCAGCTCCAAGAATTTCAGAGTAAACCAAACCTACTTCAGGGTACAGTAACATTAAACTGTAGAGTTGCAAGGTTTTACTCCTCATAAAATACAATTCTGTGCTCAGATAAAACTGCACAGTTAATTCTTCTTTTAAAAGGAACATTATGCTTTTTCTTACAGTGGTTAGATAAATAAATATTGGTGCAAAATTGCAAAAAATGTGTCATTTGAAAYGTAAAACATTGCAAAAACTGTCCATCTTACCAATTTTGAAAATCTTACATCCAGCAAAAAAGTCTTTTTGATCTTGTTTTGAGACTGATTTACTAAACAAGAACTGATTGTGTAAGAATAATAATCTTGTTTTCAGAATGTGTAAGATTATTTGTCTTGTTAGTCTGAAAATTTGACTCAAATTAAGTCAAAAATTCTATCAATGGAGTAAGAAATTTTTACTTGGTAAAATTCTTGAAATAAGGAAAAATTGAGTCAAATCAAGTATTTCAAGAATCTTACCAAGTAAAATTTTCTTACTCCATTGATAGAATTTTTTTACTCAATTTGAGTCAAATTTTCAGACTAACAAGACAAATAATCTTACACATTCTGAAAACAAGATGATTATTCTTACACAATCAGTTCTTGTTTAGTAAATCAGTCTCAAAACAAGATCAAAAAGACTTTTTGGCTGATTTAAGATTTTAAAACTTGGTTAGGTGGACATTTTTTGCAGTGTGATGGTTTAGTTATAAAAGCTAATCCATATAAAAAAAAATAAACACACAAACACACACACACAGTCCATTATTAGCATTACAAAAAACCTGTACTGTTCTGCCTCACTGATTGGTTTTACAAATGAAGTACGATGCCTAAGATTGGAAGCTGCTTGTTTTGGTTTCAGCTATTTATAAAAAAACACGTTGTACTTTACCTGTGAAACTAAATGAAATAACTTGATTAACCTGCTTCCAATGGTATCAAACTTAAGSGTTTACTTCTGCTGTGCTGCATTTTTCTTCTTGTAGTATTTGAGCAACATTTATACTTCCTCGTGATGCAATGCTTCCTCTTTCTGCAGCTGAAAACAGAAAGAAGCAGAGTCAGGGCCTCAGCCACAACAGGGATCTGTGGAGAAATAAGGATTTTAGAATTAAATAGTAAAGAAATGAACGGGCAAAGTTGTTCTCTGGTTTTGGTTAAGTGTGGGATGTAACTGTGAATAATGTCTCAAGAAAAGGATTTAATGAATTAATTAATTAATTAACAGACAAACCTGATTTATCTACAYGGTTTAACATGTGTTAGGCATTTTGGAACCAGGTGGAGCCACAAGTTCCTCTTTGACCTCGTCTCATTTCTTCATCTTTAAAGACAAACACTGATTGATGTTTAGAAACTGTTTGAATGTTGTTTTAATTGATGTTAAGTGCTTGAAAAATGTTGAAAATGTAAAACAGTTTGGAAGACAATGCTGTTTATTGTTAAATGTTTTAAAAAAAWTGTGTTTAACCGCATGGAGCTATGAAGCAGAACAGGTTGTTGAACCGGTTTCTTGGAGAAACGGACGACTGAACGTTTTCTGTTCTTTTGTTAAATATGCTCGCACCTAAGAAACCAGTCAGAGGAACTCTTTTTCTCATGTTATCAAGAGAACTGGGAGATATAATGACTGGAGAATAAATCATAGTTGGATCATTTTTGGTGCATGAGAAGGATTCACTTAAATCCTGAAGGTAAGGGTTGTTTTTCCCCCTTTTTGAGTCATGCTGTAAAAATATGTAAAAAGCTAAATTTACATCTTGAAACTTTCCAGTCACTGCTTAAACCAAACTAAACACAATGGATGGACACCAAATAAAAAAAAAACTACTGGTATTTACCAAAATACATTAAAACAATCCTAAACACTTCTGGGGAAATGTCTGGAAAAGAGAAAAAAAAAAAAGCCCAGCTGACTAAAACATGAAATGAACCGAAGCAAAAGTTACTTTCATTCTAACCAATGCTTGGCAAAGTAACTCCAAACAAATTTTAAATTTGTTATATTTTTAAAACCAAATTCATTTTTATACATCCCTTTTTTCCTCTCATCCTGTTCCTTTGAACATTAACTCATTAATCTCACAGTTTCCAGCTGTGAAGCCACTGATTGAGGCAAATCAAAGTGGCTCCTGAACAGAGTGGACAGCTTTTGGCCTGATTTGTTCCACGATCCTTTCGGACAGTGCACATGTTCTCAGCAAAGCAAAAAGACAAACTTATAAAGTGACACGCCGAAATGTGAAAAGAGGCTGTTAATCACCTGACAGACGAGACAGGACGGAGGAAGCAGCRGCAGCAGGAACATCCCTCCCAGGTCTAAAACATTTAACGTCAAGCTTGATTTGATTTATTAGGTAAATTCACCACTAGAAGCAAACAACTGGGACTTCGTGTCGCAGCTGATAAACACTTGATCTCATGAGTTTTGGTGTTCAGTAGTCCTAAAACTCCTCTGCCCTGCAGGTTTCAGTAATTCATCCACCACACCTGATCGAATCTCTTCAGACTGTTCAGAAATCACTGCGTTCAGATCAGGTGTGGTGGAGCAGGAGGACATGCAGGGTGGAGGCACTTCCCAGGTGAAAAAATATTATACTAAATATACTAAATCATAGCATACTTTAGTGTACTTGAAGCCACACTAATCATCAGTATACTTAAAGAGTGCTATTTTGAAACAACTAATTTAATACTAAATATACTTTAGTTGTATTTAAGTTGCACAAAAGCACAATTTTAAGTGTATTAAGCATACTTTTAAATACTAAAATGGAACAACTTCAAATATACTTAGTACACTTTAAGTGTAAACACTTAACATGTACTAAGTATATTTAAAGTTGTTAAATTTCAGGAATATGATCTATATATGATGTATACTGATGATTAGTGTGGCTTCTAGTACATTAAAGTACACTTAGTATAATATTTTTTCATCTGGGTTGGGAACTAGGATTGGACAAAAAATTAATAATTTAGCAGCAATGACTCGGGTTCAATTAACCAAACATTTTAGGGGTAAAATATAAGTTTGAAAACAATTTGAAACCACAGTTTAACTCGCACTGACCTGAAGCTTGTTTTGATTCATAATATATTTACAGATTATTGTAAAAACACACAAAAAATTAAATCCTCACAAATTGTATTTTTTGTCATCTTATATCCCAAGTCCTCTCCTTCCTTATTTTTGAGTTTGTTTTAAAATAGCAGAGGCCTTTAACTCCACACCCCCACCCCCGCAGGAAAAGCTTAACACTGATTGCTGCTTTGTTGTGTTTTATGGAAGCATTCCATTTAAATATATTTCTCTTTTCTTTATTAAAACATCCAACCTGCTGTCTAACCTGCAGCCCCTGTGAATCATGAGAAAACCAAAGCAAACCCTCATGAGGTTTCTGTTTGTGCTGCTGGGGATCTGTGTCCTGTGGTGTCTGAGCCTGCCTTATTTTATCCTGGTACGTATCCTCATCCACAGCCAACGGTTTTTAATAAAACAGTTTGTTATTGTTCATGCAGTGCAGTTACCGTTATGATTTGTATTCTTAATCTTTGCAAAAAAGGTAGTTGAATGTTTAATTTTTGTATTTTTTTGAAAGCGAATGCTAAATTATGCAGCTAATGTAGTCACATTGAGTTATTTTAACCCTCCTGTTGTCTTCGGGTCAAAATGACCCGCCACTGTGTTAAAAACCCCCAAAAAATCCCCTAAATGTTATTTTTTTAACTTGAGAT